GGTGGGGGGGGGTGTCATTCCTGCGCTAGGTGAGAAAACTCTCTAGCGACAGAGCACAGCGAGGGCCGAGAGACCCAGTTTTCCCGAGTCACTTCTCTCTAGACTGAGGCTCAGAGAGAATATCAGTGTGGCCCGATTGCCTGGTTATCCAGGCCCCCGGCCCTTCCTCAGGACCCCGTGAGCATGGAGAACGCATCGCTGGCTGGGGAAGCTGAGCTTCAGTGACTCCCCAAGTAGAACAGGCCAGAGCGGACAGGCCTTCCGGGGAGCAGGCGCTTTAAATAGTGGAGTCCTCTGCGGGTACAGGTCCTGGCTCCGTCTGGGGTCCAGTTTCTTCTTTAATGTTCAGTTTCTTTTTTTTTTTTTAATTTTTTTTCAACGTTTATTTATTTTTTTGGGACAGAGAGAGATAGAGCATGAATGGGGGAGGGGCAGAGAGAGAGGGAGACACAGAATCGGAAACAGGCTCCAGGCTCTGAGCCATCAGCCCAGAGCCTGACGCGGGGCTCGAACTCACGGACCGCGAGATCGTGACCTGGCTGAAGTCGGACGCTTAACCGACTGCGCCACCCAGGCGCCCCTAATGTTCAGTTTCTGAGTCTGTAAAATCAGCACCGTCACACCATGTCCCTCATAGGGGGTCTTGCGGGGAGTTGCTGGGGTAAAGAAAGCCCAGGGCACTCTCAGGGTCTTCCCCGCCCCCGCCGGCCCCGGCCCCTCCGGGGCGTGTGCCATACTGGGTAGCTGTCCTCAGTACTGTGTCTCCCCTGCCTCACTGCTTAGGACAGTGCTTTTGTGATCACCGAGGTCACCTGTGTCCTCATGAGACTTTAACACCCCACCACAGAGCTCCACCTGCCACCCTTTGGGCTCCACCTGCTGGCACCCATTCATCAGGGCCCCTGGAGCTTACTAGAAAAATGCAGAGGATCTTGGCAACATGCAGTATTCGTTAAAAAATAGTTTTTTCTTAACGTTTATTTGCTTTTGAGAGAGAGTGTGAGCTGGGGAAGGGCCAAGAGAGAGGGAGACCCAGAATCAGGCTCCAGGCTCTGAGCTGTCAGCACAGAGCCCAAGGCAGGGCTCGAACTCACAAGTTGTAAGATCATGACCTGAGCCGAGGTCAGACACTTAACCGACTGAGCCACCCAGGTGCCCCTAAATGCAATGCAGTATTATCTTGAGTATGAAAGGCATGATGCATGAGAAAGTGTTTTATGACCTGTCAGATAGTCTAAGTATCTTTACTGACATCTTTTTTTGTTTGTTTCATCCTTTGTTATTTTCCGTGAATTTGTTTTCTTTTTCCCTTTTTTTATATTTTTTTGTTTATTTTTTTTTCTTTTAAGCTTCTTATTTATTTACTTTTAAAGTGACCTCATTCCTGGGGCACCTGGGTGGCTCAGTCGGGTGGTTAAGTGTCAGACTTCGGCTCAGGTCATGATCTCACGGTTCATGGGTTCGAGTCCCGCATCAGGCTCTGTACCGAACACTTGCTCAGAGCCTGGAGCCTGCTTCGGATTCTGTGTCTCCTTCTCTCTCTGCTCCTCCTCCGCTTGTGCTCCGTTTCACTCTGTCTCTCAAAAATAAGTAAATGTAAAAAGAAAAACAAAAAACTTAAAGTGACCTCATTCCTAACAGGCCGTATTTTCGCCACCCAGGAACTCTAGCTCGTTCGCAGACTTGGTTGCTGAGGGGAAATGGCAGTGTTCCCGGACCATCTGGGAAGGTTCCGAGTCTTCTGCTTCTATGTTTCCAGGCCCCTGATTGCGAAGAAGAATCCTAAGATCCCGATGTCTAAGATGATGACCATCCTTGGGGCCAAGTGGAGAGAGTTCAGTGCCAACAACCCCTTCAAGGGGTCGGCAGCTGCCGTGGCGGCGGCCGCGGCAGCGGCGGCCGCAGCTGTGGCTGAGCAGGTGTCAGCTGCCGTCTCATCAACCGCCCCCGTAGCACCTTCCGGACCCCCCACCCTTCCAGCACCTCCTTCTGCTGATACCCAGCCCCCACCCATCCGAAGAGCCAAAACCAAAGAGGGCAAAGGTGAGGAACTCTTCGCTCAGAACAGCGGTCACCCCGCTGTCCCGACTGCGCAGCCTCGGATTAGAGCATACGATTGTCTTGTCTCCTTGGCCCTGACTGTCACCGCAGAGACGCTTTCCAGGAAGAGGCTGCAGGGAGACCAGAGGCCCCCGTGACCTCCGTTATTCCAGGGTGTCGTGACCTCTGCTCTTTCTCCCTCACCCCACTCCTCGTTCAGGTCCAGGCCATAAAAGGCGGAGTAAGAGCCCCCGAGTGCCCGACGGACGCAAGAAGCTTCGGGGAAAGAAGATGGCGCCACTCAAAATCAAACTAGGGCTGCTGGGTGGCAAGCGGAAGAAGGGAGGCTCGGTGAGCGGCCCCTGAAGTCCGCTGAGCACTGGGGAGGAGGGGGGGTATGTCCAGGGCTGGGGGTCCGGACGCAGGGGTCCACGAGGGAAGCCGGAACAGGAGCCAGAGGCCTGGGGCGGGCAGCGGCGTGAAGCCGGCCTCCCTGACCACCACGGGGCTATGGGCAGTATGTCTTTCAGAGCGACGAGGGCCCCGAACCCGAGGCTGAGGAGTCAGACCTGGACAGTGGCAGCGTCCACAGCGCCTCGGGCCGGCCTGATGGCCCTGTCCGCACCAAGAAGCTAAAGAGAGGCCGGCCAGGGAGGAAGAAGAAGAAGGGTGAGGGGTGCTCGCTGTGTGTGGTTTTGACAGCCTGCCTTCCTGCCGTTCGTCCGTGATCTTCATTTTTCCACGCTGTCTCCTTTATTCAACCCTTCTCTTTCCCCGTTCTCCCTCTCTCCTTCTCTCTCTGTGCCCCGTGCCTCCCCTGGTGTGCGCAGCAGTCCTGGGCTGTCCCGCAGTGGCCGGGGAGGACGAGGTTGACGGCTACGAGACGGACCACCAGGATTACTGTGAGGTGTGCCAGCAGGGCGGGGAAATCATTCTGTGCGACACCTGCCCTCGTGCCTACCACCTCGTCTGCCTTGATCCTGAGCTTGACCGGGCTCCTGAGGGCAAATGGAGCTGCCCCCACTGCGTGAGTACGCGGTGCCCTCGGGGACCCCAGCCCCACCCCCCATCTTCTTCCTGCCCGCCCCCCCCCTCCATGCTTGGGTTGTTCGGTGCCAGATGTGTGAGGTCCCGGGATCCTGGTTCCTCGCCCCCTCTGCCTCCGCCGCCCGAATCCACGGCCTCGGAAACTGAGGCGTCCCGCCCCTTCGTTCGCACCCACCTCCTCTGCGCCTCTAGGGTTCAGGTGGCCCGTCTTGGCCTCTGGCTTCCGGTCTCGCCGCTCACGTCCTTCCTTCCTTCCACCTGTCTCTGTCTGTCCCTGGCCTCCCAGGAGAAGGAGGGGGTCCAGTGGGAGGCCAAGGAGGAGGAGGAGGAGTACGAGGAGGAGGGAGAGGAGGAGGGGGAGAAGGAGGAGGAGGACGACCACATGGAGTACTGTCGCGTGTGCAAGGATGGCGGCGAGCTCCTGTGCTGTGACGCTTGCATTTCTTCCTACCACATCCACTGTCTGAACCCGCCCCTGCCTGACATCCCCAACGGTGAATGGCTGTGTCCCCGATGCACAGTGAG